GCAAAATGCAGAAAAAAGAAAAGAAAATGTACCCTCCTGTTCCAGTTAATAAATGTTACATAACAAAAACTAGTTGAAAACAATTGTACGGTTCTTCCAAAACAAAAAAAAATAAAATACACAAAAAAAAATTTTTAAATGTTATAAAAAATGTTCACCAAACTAAATAGTTTTTTGTTTGCTTTTTAGTAAAAATTGGTTGAAAAATGAAGATTTCGGTGGACTATGAACATTAAATTCCAAATTTTGAACCACTGTGTGCTGGCTTCGTCGTGCAGTATGAATTATCGAAAACGCATTTTGGTAGCAAGGGATGGCGAAGTCCTTGAAAGGGATTTGGCTTCATTTTTTCGCTACAGCAGGGGAACTTGTATAATTAAATAATACTATCAACTGTAAATATTTGATTTAAATTAAGATAAGGGTAAGGTACTTTTATCATACGAGTTCTATGTACGTATTCCCAAATCATTTTGAAAAAAAAAAGTGTCCTTAATTTTACGTTGGTTAATATGGTCACCGTAGGTATGGCTGTATCATATACAGCCACCGATTCTAAGCAGTCAAAAGCTTACACGAAGCAATCAAAACGAAAATAGCCTACCCAGAGCACTTAACGTGGTTATTAATAATACTCTTAAAATACTCTAAATTAAAATGCTTGCACTTAAAAACATGAAAACCCAAGCCTGTCTCATCAAAACATTTGAACAGTGGCCACATTTAAATGCCTTCTGGTTGCGATTAATTTGGTTGTTTTCACATTAATTTCGTTCAATTTGAACAACGACATGCGTTAATTTATGCGACTTTCGAAAGAAAGTAAATTGAAGTGATAATCGGCTGAACTGTGGTGTACCGCTCGACAGGCAGGTGGACAAAAAACGTCATAAGCTTCGTGATGTTGGCGGAGCGGGTAGTTCATTTTGTTGTTGCTGCATACGAGTTTTTACATATGTATGTACATATACATATGATCATATATGTATATGTATACATGTAGCTATGCAAATGAGTGTCAGTATAGAGCTAGTTAAATACTCGAATGCTTTACGACTTTAATTCGCCTTTTGTTGCCGCATAATTAAGCAAAGCAGGTAATCAAATTTAAATCAAAAACAACAACCGAAACCAAAATCAAAATACTAGATCATCAACTGGTTTGCTTAATTTCACGTTTGCGGCCTCCAACCCCCCCCCCCCCCCCGCTTTCNTCGTATCGATCATTGATCACCGTTACGGCGGCAGCGATTGAGTTTTTGCGTAGCTGTGACGGCTTTTGCGTTGGCTGGTTGGTGTGACTGGCGTCGAACCGCAGCAAAAGGGCGGTTATATTTAAGTCAATACATTTAAACGGCATTTAGCAGCTGACGATCTATGTATGTCAGATAATTGTGTATGTCGCTTGATTACATGTATATATGTATGCATATCCCCTTATGTATCTATTTAGCGGCGGCAAAGACAACGTCGGCGGTGGCGAACGATGAACAATTAGTGAGATTTGTTGTTAAAACGCTTTTGATTTTGGTAAAGTGTATGGGCGTTTCTTTATTTCTTTGTTGTATTATTTAGTAAATGGAATTTCAAAGATAGTGTTTTTGTTTTTGGAAACAAAACAGTAGATGTTTAGGTCCAGTTTTTAGCACTAGATAAACAATACATGGTCAGAGAATTAGGCTGTATACATAGGGCAACTTGTGCGGGTGCTACAGCAGCATTCAAGTTGTGTCCATAGGTATGATGCGCTAAATGTGGTCTTGCATCAACTGCCCATCGATCACCACATCTGCGAAACTGCAGCGTCCTCGGCAGTTAGACTCAAAGAGTTAGGTTGCTGGAGGGGGCACAGTGTGGAAATTGAACCTTTTTCGTGACAAATTCTAATATCTCGAGAACGAGAACAGCTAGCGAAACAAATGCAATAGCATTTTAAGGATTTTGAGCTGGAAAATTCAGGAAAAATAGTTTCGTTTGGTTGAAAAAATTTTCTTGACCTTCTAAATGACCTGAAAATTTTCAATTTCAATTTTTTTTCTTTTTGGACCTGAAAATAGTTTTAACCACAAATTTTTGCTGCTCTTGCGTCAAGGAATTTATTTTCATGGTCACAGGAAATGAAAAACTCATTTCAATTTTTTTTTTTTAATGAAATCATTAAATATTGTTTTTAGTTAAAAAAGAAACATCAAAATTTTCGCATTTGAAGGTCAAGTTAATTTTTTTTTTAATTTGACCTTCATTAGTAAAATTTTTGATTTTTTATATTTTTTGGCCAAAAAAGTTTTTAATGAACTCTTAAACAAATTTTCTTTAATGCGTTTTTCAGTTCCTGGACAATGTAAATGGATTCCTTGACACAAAAGCAGGTTAAAACTTTTAAAAAAGTTCACAGCATACTATTTTCTGGTCAAACAAGAAAACAAATTAAAAACTCCCTAACTTTGAAGGTCAAGGTAATTTTTTTTTCCAACAAAACTATTCCTGAATTCTCAATCTCAAAAGCCTTAAAGCGCTATTAATCCTCGTTCTTGAGATATTAAAATTTTCGGCACGGACATATGTACATAGTGGTATTTGCGACAAGCTTAACGAATCAGGAAAACTTAGATTATATACCCCCTACCAGATATTTCAGGAAAAATTTTCAAGTGAAGTTTCCTTCTAGACGAAATTGGAGCAGGGACAGAATAGTCGAGCAGAATTCCACTGAAATCTAAACTTACGGGTCCAAAATGGAATGCGGTGTGTAAAGCATTCTGGCACTTGCCTCACCAGTAACAAAATCTAAAACAGTCAGAGAGTCCCTCATCTGGGCTCCCGGCCATTGGAACATACACGAAAATCAGAGCGCTGATGAGTCCACTGTCCACTGACTGACTGTCCACTCGAACCCATCAAAAGGGGACTGCATTTGCAATTCACAAGTATCGCTGATACATGTTGGAACAACCATAAAAAACATAAAACATGCAAAACAGCGATAGACATATGGCCTCATTATGTCAAGCCAAAGACAGAAGAACTTCTAAAGAGGTCGAGTAAAGATATTGGCGAATTAACAGCCACAATAACGAGACATTGGCCCATTGATGAGCTAAAAAATGCCTTTCGCACAATCTCGGTGTCGTAGCTGTAAGCTTGAGCGAAGTAAGGAAAGGGTCCTACACTATCTCTGTGAATGTCCAGCATTAGAATGGCTAAGGCATGACACACTCGGGAGTTTTTCCATCCAAAATCTTAAGGAGATCTCCAAATGAATCATTACTAACCTAAATAGGTTAAGCGAAAAATCCAAATGGTTTGACGAACCTAACTAAGCATGAAAGCATATACATACATATGTAAAATCAAGGATTCCAGAGTAAGTGTATCAAATAGTTGCTGTGCGCTCTAATTGGGTTCTGGGCATCTGCTTAGATGACGTTTCCAGCAACCAACCGAACAGGTTCGGTGGCAGCGAAATTATTTGACACTCTCCATCTTTTGCTGGACAGAAGTCATTAATGTTGTTTTGATATGAAGAAAAATACCTTGTGTTAGTTCCAGAAGACTTTTTTCATACTGGTCACAATTTGGTGGATTGCGGCTTTTACTGACCTGTATTTAAATTCGAAATGCCGTTAATTGGACAGCCACCTTGGATATGGCACAGAGAGGATTTGCTTTGGAGACCAAGTCCGGGTTTTGATATTTTTTTTTCGTTTCTGCTGTAATATATTTGGCGTTGATAGATCTTGCATTCCGTTTTTATGCCAAACTGATGTAACTTTCCGAAGACTAATTTTATTCTGTATAGGCAATATCTATTAGAAGTTGTTTGCTATAAGTTATGACTCACCTCCAAAGAAAAGTCAGTGGTGGTGTGGAAAAGCAATAAGTTAAAAAAAAAAATAAAGAATATCAATTTGGCAAAAGTAAAACGTATTTCTTTTATTTATGTATGATAGAACCAACAAAAGTTCATAGGCACATAACCAAAATCTTAGATGACCTGGAAGCGATTGGCTCAAAATTAAGGTAAACATATAAATATTGATCTTACTTTGATTCCTGATCAAATGATCGAAGTTTATGTACATACATATTGCATATGTTGTTCGCAACTGTTTTAACTGTTGTTACTCCTTTGTTACTAAGTTGGTTTTAGGTGTTACCTAGAAATATAGCCAGTTTAGCATCTTGGTTACCTCCTAGTTACCGGTCTTAGGTGCTACATCAGAAGTTATAATAGGGTAATAGTTATTCGAATTCTTGGTTACCTTTTTTCCTATAAATCCTTTGAAATAAAAAATCCTTTTAAAGTATAAAGCTTTATTTTATTAATAATCAATTATGGCAAGCGTTTCTAAAAGACATCATCATAACCATTCTACAAAACGGGATATTAAATAAATGTATGTATAAAGATGTTAAACTATAATAATAATAATATATTAATCAATTTACTATTCTTTTGATATATATTAACAGTTGGAAATCATTTATCGTGGTTTACGAAAATTCAGTTTTCTTACAACTACAAAATTTGAGGACTTTTCCACTGCTTACATATAGATGATTTCAAAAGTTGCGAAATTTGCATAAAAATGTTAAACGAATTCAATGGTATTTTAATTAAAAGAAAGGTAATCGATTTATCTTTCTTTTGATATATATTAACAATTGGAAATCATTTATAGTGGTTCAAGAAAATGCAGTTTTCTTAAAACTTTGCAAAAGTTTAGGAATTTTACAATTCCTACATATGTATGTATATGTTTTTTGCCTCAGTTGTAATTCGCCGTGGTATAACATTGTTACTAGTCGCTGATGGTGTTGATGGCATTGAATTTGGTGATGGCGTTGATGATGCTGGTGGTGAATGTCAAATATGTAAACAAACAAAAATATCAATTAAAATTTATAAACAAGAAAAATATCAATGTATACCTTTAGAATATGACTATGTTGGTGATGTTTGCAATCTCAAAGAAAAAACTATAAACATGCTTTCATCATGATCGAGAGTCTCATTTTTGCTGAGGGAGATATTTTAATTTGCCTCCAGTAGCGCTTCATTTATTTCTCCGAGCCTTAAACATAGTATAATATTAATTTGGAAAGGGGAATGCAATAAAACAGCTTATTATTGTCGTTGTTGTTGATGGAAAACCTACTGAGGCCGGGCTTCGTAATGCGGCTACTACTACAACAACCAAAACTATTCACTGATAAAGGGCCTGCTCGAGGCACGCAATAAAAGCACAAAAACTGCAGCGCTGATGAAAATTTGCAAGACGGTTCCAACATCCTAATTGGTAAAACGTTGCTAGAAATTCACAGCGAACGTGATGCTTTATTCACGCAACACTACAGTTGTAATTGCAACTCGAACAAGCCCAAACACTTCCAACGATGCATGAATTTCGCGGTGGCCAATCGAAATTTGCATCAAAGCTCAGGAAACTGCTTTGGCCACCAGTTCATCTTCCACCAATACAACTTATTGTCCAAACAAGATTGGCTGCAGTTGACTATAACACGAAAATGATAAGAGCACTTCACCAATGCACTAATATGTCGCTCTGGAAAGAAATATACATTAATTTAAATGTTTTCTTAAAAATAAATGCAAATTTACCTAATTTTTCCACCGGCAGGCACGAATATGATGTTCAAAACAAAAGCAATGACAACGAATTTCACACACATTGATGTATTTTAGCGCAAAACGATAAGTTTCACAAATTTTTTAAATTAAATAAAGACTTTGCATGTATTTTAAATTACTTATTTAATAAATTCAAAAGAATAAAAACACATTTTTCTAGATTATTTCTCAATTTACATTTCAAAGTTTTTTCTGAAATTTTAATGCAACTCTGTGCGGTGAATGAGAGAATTAGAAATCAGGTGATCTCAGCTGTTTTCAAATGTAAACAAACAAAATGGCGCTTTCCATACTTGTAAGCATATACAATGCAATAAAGTCGGCCGGTTTTAAATTTACCCAGTTTCGTTGCTTGTCCAAAGTTTGTCAATTGTTGCTGCAATTTTTATTTAAAATTTTCTTTTTTCAAAATTTCGTTTGTACATATTTTGCATGACACACTTTGATATAAAAGAACAGAATAGTTTTTTGATACTTTAAAGACCAAAATCAACAACAAAATACGCATAAATATTGTTTCTGCTCTAATGCCACCATCTGTTTAATATGCCTTGGGTCGTACCAGGTCGTACCTATTTCTTGAGCATCTGAAAAAAATACTTAACATGCTATTTTTAAGCAAAAAAAAAACAAAACCGACTTCAATTCTCATATGCAAATTTAATATTACCGTTAATCTCTTCCTGATCCAATGATCGGATTTAAACCAAATTAGTATGGGACCACATCCGACGCACCACCCTTCCTTTAAGAAGATCTGTTAAAAAATATTGAGTGTTTGAGATTTGTACCATGCTAACCGCAGTGACTCCTGGCTAGAGGTCGTCAAAGCGTCATCTGTCTGATTCACATCAGACTTAGTTACAAGGTCGTACCAAAGTCTTGCCAAGAATTTTTCTTTGCAGCTTTTATCATACTTTGGGGTGTGCTACAGCTGGTACTATATTTATTCCAATTAATTTCACATTGAAAAGCTTTCGTAATGTCGCTCTAGTTAGTAGAGTTGTTTGGTTCAACATTCGTAAAAATACAGTCGGGTGAAAAATAAAAGGGACACGACATTTCTACCAGTTTTGGTTTTTTTTCGTTTGTTTATAAAAATACAGCTTATTATCTAACAAAATCCATATAAGCGCAAATGTTTAAACTTTGTAGAAAATTTAAAAAAATAAAACAAAATTTTACAACATTAAACTTTTCTTTGGGAATTTTTAGAAAAAAAATAAGAGTATGCAATGCCAGCTTAAGAAAGTGCAAGTTGTCGTGGTATTGTTTTCTTTGCAGCAAAAAAAAAATAAAATTTTAAATCAACGCGACCTCCTAGCTACTTAAAACTTGCACTTTTTAGGGTAGAATTTAATGGGCTATAAATCTGCATACCTAGGTTTCTTAATAAAAAGCTTGCTGTTGTTGAAAAATTTTGTTAAAATTTTTTTATTTTTCTACAAACTTTGAAATTTGGACTTATATGGTTTTTGTTAGATGATCAGCTATAAAAAAAAAACAATAAACATTAAACATTAAACAACAAAAGAAAAATAGCCAAAACTGGTAAAAATGTCGTGTAACTATTATTTTTCACATGACTATATATTTATATATTTCTTTGGCGGTACTGACTCAAAAGAATGTTTTTTGGGCAGCCTTTTTGTGCATACATCCGTATCTACTCCTACAAATTTCGGTATGTATTATATATGTATGTATGTCAATCAATAATCTGCGTGATGCTGCTGTTTTAGTGGCGATATATTTTTGATTAAATTATTAACTTTTGGGCTTCATGTCTGTGTAGATACGCATACTAATATAAATAAATAAAAACACGAAAATAAATATTGTTCGATTGTTGCGCGATTGGCTATTTCATTTGATTTGTTTGCGTTCGTTTATTAGCTAATATTTCTTTTTTCTTATTTAATTCATATTTAAAATTATTGTACTGCGAACTTTTTGTTGTTTGCGTTGTTGCGCTGTGTTGCCTGTGATTTGCTATCATTGTTATCTTTCGCTTGTTATTTTTAAATGCTGATGTTTAATGTTAATACTAGAGTTGCCATTGTTGTTGTTTCGGCTTGTTTCGCTGTCAGCTTTTTTTCATTTTTTTTATTGTTTTTATTTATTTATTTATTTTTTTCTACAACGAGTATATTATCTTTATACATATCTATCTATTGTGGGGCGGATGTTGCCGTTTGATGGCATTACGAGTATCATCCATGTCTGTGGCAATGCTTAGCTCGCATTCCAGCTCTACGAGCTCCAGCTGTTGACGCCGAACATTTTTATTGCCATGCCATTTATTGCCGTGTTTCTTTATTATTGTTATTGTTGTTGTTGTTGTTGTTGTTGCTGGTGCTCTCGCATTGATTTAACTGATATTTTGCTCGCATATTGATGATGCGCGCCATCGGTCTGGGTTATTACTTTTTAATTGTAATTTATTTGATTGATTTATCGCTCAAATAAATATTCATCATATTCATGTATGTGCATATGTATGTATGTATGTACATACATATGTGTCTGTAGTGGCATATATCTATTCAAGTTTGGCAATCACTGACTGGTTTTTCGTTATAAATTTAATGCTTTCGGAATTTTTGAAGATCATAAAATATATTGTTTTCTTTAAATCAGACATCTAATTTAATCGCTTTTGTTTCAAACTTTGCCATGCTTATTGCGGTTAGGTTAAAACAAAACTTAATAAGGCGAAACAACACCAACAATAATAATAATTTAGGAATTCCAACAAAAAAATGAAATTAATGGAAAATCCGCTAATAAAACTTTTGACAGCTTTATTAAGGCCTTAGACTATTTCGTTAATTTCCATAATAGAGGACTTTCTAATTTTGTTTAAAAAATATTCATTGTCTTCAATAAAAATATTTCCTGTATTGTTCAAGTGATCGATAATTTGTATATCTTTCAAATTCATTGTGAAGAAAAAAGTTATTATGATTTGAAAATATAAAACTCCGACTGTCATAAAACTTTCAAAGTACATACATAGTAGTGAGTTAAAATCTCTGCCTCCCAGAGAGCTAGTCTCGTGAAAGTGAACTTCTAATTGTGTCACAAACGCAGCTGTGCTAACTTTTCTGTCGAGCTAAAATACCTTCGTTGGCACCCCCATGTGACCATACCTAGAATAAGTATGTACATTAGAGTGCATCACTCTCCATACAAAAAAAAAATCGTAGTTCTTTCCCATTGGAATTGTAGAATTTATTTTAAGACTCCCGCCAAAATATTTCGGAAAAATACGAAGATTTACGTGAACGGGACCGATTTGAAAATACCTCCAAAAATCGAGTTTTTTCAAATAAAATTAGTTTTTAAAATTTTGTTTCTAAAAAATCACCTCAGATGATAGAAATGTTTAAGGTTAAAACGTTTGCATAAAAGTGTTTGAAAATTGTATCAACCGAATCAAAATAATAAAATTTTTGGCGGTATTTTCAAATCGGTCCAGCTCACGTAAGTCTTAGTATTTTTCCTCAATATTTTTACGGAAGTCTTAAAATATAATAAATTTTATAATTTCGCTGGAAAACCACAACTTTTTTTTGGTGATGCACCCTAATGTATCAAAATATATTTATACAAAAGTGGTAGCCATGCTGATAGCTAGCCTATGTAACTTTTAACCCACCGGTAGGCGAATACTCGCGACTGAAACCTCTGCCTGGGTTTCGACTAGTAATGATTATCCCTAGAAAGAGCCTGTGCTACTAACTCAAAGCGCAATAAATTTAGCTGAAACTCCTAAGTAAGGTACAAAGAAAACTGTTTTTATACATCTCGGGAAATTTTCCCAAATAAAGCGGTTCGGCCACGCTGCCATACTTCAGACTCTGGTTAGTTAAGGCCAAGATATCGACTACTCAGTCCCTAAACTCACCATCGATAGGCTCCCAAGACGAACACTCCATCAAGGAGAGAATTGGAAAGCCCCAGGACCATGGAGAAGGGGGAATTAAATTTTTACACCGATGGATCCAAGCTAGACAATAAACTTGGACTGGAATTATACGTTCGAATTGCGGACAGTGTTAAAACGGAGGCAAAAATGGTATACCCATGACAACCTACAAATTAGGTATTAGAGATAGCCTTATGCAAGATCATACTTGTTTAACAACTGGGCTACTATTGCCGGAAATTGATAAGAAAAAGACAAATGAACTGCTCAGCCTCTCAAGTTGAGTTAGCACTACGGCAAGCCTACATCGGAGTAAATGAAGTGAAAAAATCGTAGCAGAAACTTAAATACCATGGTAAATTTCTATATATCGCCCGTTTGCTGGAGAACGTCGTGTCCAAATATATTTTACATTTCTTTTCAGTTCTTAGTACAAAATAAATTTTAATTAAAAAAAAAAANTTCATTTCTTTTCAGTTCTTAGTACAAAATAAAGACTTTCACGAAAATTTTAATTTAAAAAAAAAAAAAATATGGATCGCTTCCAAGAAGTTATATTTTTTTTATCGCAAAAATGTTAATAAATTATGACTTTGGTCAGCTCTAATTCGGCGAGTTTATGAATGTAAATATGTCAGGCTTATCAGATTTGATGTAAGCTTTTTTGAATTTTTGCGATTTGAAAAAAAAATTAAATTTGCTCCTCCTAAAAATTTGTTTAAAAATTTTATATCGATATTTTTNCTAAATTATGACTTTGGTCAGCTCTAATTCGGCGAGTTTATGAATGTAAATATGTCAGGCTTATCAGATTTGATGTAAGCTTTTTTTGAATTTTTGCGATTTGAAAAAAAAAATAAAATTTGCTCCTCCTAAAAATTTGTTTAAAAATTTTATATCGATATTTTTTTTTTTTGGACAGAAAAAAATAAAACAGAGCCCCATACAAAGTTTAGATGTTGATATTTTAAGGACCACCCGAATACTTGCATATTTTTTTTTGCGAAATTAGCGATTTATTAAAGGGAAATGAGTATGCAAGNGAAAAAAATAAAACAGAGCCCCATACAAAGTTTAGATGTTGATATTTTAAGGACCACCCGAATACTTGCACATTTTTTTTTGCGAAATTAGCGATT